CAGGGGCTGGAGGGTAGCACTTACCCAGCACATGCGTGAGGCTAGGCCCTGGGCTCCATCCCTGGCACTGCAAAGCAAAAAAAAAAAAAACAAAAAAAAACACCCGATACAGCTTCTGCCATCATGGGGATGACAATCTGCTCCAGGAAGCAGAAAGTTTGCTGATGTCCCTAAATTACAGGGGGCTAGAAGACCCAGCTGTCACCTTTGACAGGAGATTGGGACCGGGAAGGAGACCAGATCTCAGGAATGGAAAGGACTGCTGTGTTCATCCAGTCTCCCCGCCCTACCTGGTGCCCGAAAGCCCTGGGTTTGTCCTCTGAAGCCATTTCTTCTCAACACTGTGACTGTGCCCATAGAAAAGCCAAAACGTTTCCAAGGCAGGTCTGGGCTCAGCACCCCCCACCTCTGCTCTCTGCTTAGCTGGGTCTTTCTGCTYGGGAGGAATCTGTTTCTCTCCACTGATTCCCTACAGGTCTGGATGGGAAAGAGGGAAGGAAGAGTCCTCTGAAGGAAGTTGAAATTCAGGGGAAATTTCTCTATGTACAAGGATTTCTCTTGTTCACTGTCAGCAGCTTCCTGAAGATCATGTTGTTGTTTTAAAATCTTCCCTGCATGGGGGCCCCTCAGATCAGAGTGCTCCCCTGTCCTGTGATAGGGTGGGGCAGTGGTGACCTCCAGAATCAAAGGCCACAGTCATTCCCAAACTTGGATTTTGAAAAAGAAGAGGGAGAGTCCAGTTCTTCTCTCAGGGTCCTCCTCTTGTGTCCCTGCAAATCACCCTTCACCTCCCAGCGCTGGGTGCTGGAGGAACGTGGTTCAGCAGTGTGGATACGTAACCTCCTGCAGGTGGTTCTTCACCCTTTTTAAACTCTGCWTCATTTATACGTCTTCAGCTCAAAGTCCTGGTGCTTTGGGGTAAGAAGAGGCTCAGGGCTGGCCCTCTGCTTCTGGTCCTAACTTCCCCACCCTTAGCCCTTCAGACAGAAGGAGGGTGGGAKTCCACACAGGGTGGGAGGGAGTCACATGCTCATTGCTCATTCCTCTTTCTGTCTTTCATTTTTTTCTTGCCCCTTAAAAACTTAAAATTCTTGGGGCTAGGGTTATGACTCAGTGGTAGAGCACTTGCCTAGGACGGGTGAGGCCCTGGGTTCGATCCTCGGCACCACATACAAACAAACAACAACAAACAAATAAAATAAAGGTTAAATTTTTAAAAAATAATAAAATTCTTCTCTCTCTCTCTCTCTCTCTCTCTCTCTTTCTCCCTTGGTTCTAGGACCTCAAGCATACTAATCAAGTGTTATGCCACTGAGCTACACCCCCAGACCTATGTCATCTTCCACCCCTACCTTCCCATACTGGGGACTGAGCCTAGTAGCACTCTTCTATGGAACTATATTCCCAGCCCTGTTTGTTTTATTTCTTATTTTAAGACAGAGGCTTGCCGGGTGCGGTGGCGCATGCCTGTAATCCCAGCGGCTTGGGAGGCTGAGACAGATRGATTGTGACTTCAAAGTCAGTCTCAGCTATGGTGAGGCATTAGGCAACTCAGTGAGACCCTGTCTCTAAATAAMATACAAAATAGGGCTGGGCGCGCTCGCCTGGCATGCGTGCAGCCCGGGTTCGATCCTCAGCACCACATACAAACAAAGATGTTGTGTCCGCCGAGAACTAAAAAATAAATATTAAAATTCTCTCTCTCTCCCTCTCTCTCTCTCACTCTCTCTTTAAAAAAAAAATAGGGCTGGGGATGTGGCTCAGTGGTTGAGTGCCCCTGAGTTCATTCCCTGGTACCAAAAAAAAAAAAAAAAAAATCTCCCTTAAGTTACCCAGGCTGGTCTTGAACTGGTGGTCCTCCTGCCTCAGCCTCTCAAGTAGCTGGGATCACAGGCATGCACCACCGCACCAGCTTCTATGCTTTTATTGGTAGCCTAGAGTTCTATTGTGTGGATTTGCCATAATTTGTTTAGCAGTGGCTTGTTACTCTTATTAGTCTTCACTTAAATCATTTCTAACTTTTTATTATTATAGAGAATGATGAATGATGGGATGARCATCTCTTACATCTGATATATATATTTTGCTTCAAGAGAAATCTCAGAAAAGGAATTGCTGTGCCCAGGGGACACATTCCTCCTCCTTCCAAGTCCACAGACAGGATTTGGCCATGTTGGTGGTCCTTAGGCTTCAACAGACTGCTCACCCTCATCCTGAGGAAGGCAGGGAAGAAACAAACAGATGTTGAAATGGACCTCAGCCCTTAGATGATGGAGATGGTGAGAGAGGAGAACATCACAGGAACTCCAGGTCCTTCACAGCTTCTCAACCTTCTGTGAGGCCAACCAGCCCCGCCCGGCTTGTATGTTATCTCTGCAGAATGAGGATGCTTGTGCGGAGCCCAGGGATGGTGGGGAAAGGCTGTGGGTGGGGGGTGGGGCAGTAGCTAATGCATTTGCCAGCATCTTTGGTTTCTCCAATATCCAACCAGACTATTAGCAGTTCCCCAAGGATGGCCTTGCTCCTCACGTYATCCCCCATTTCCTATAAATGGGAAGTAGCAAGGGAGTAGGGTTTGTGTATGCATGTGTGTTGTGGGGGAGGGAAGAGGAGGAAGGTCTGGGACATATTGGTTTTCCTACAGCTGATGTAGTGGAGAACTGAGGTCCAGAGAAGTTGTTATTTGCCCAGAAGGACACAGCATCTTGGAGAGTAAGTTGTATGGATGTTAGAACTTTCTTTGAAGTCACTGGCCAGACTAGATGAGGGATTTCTGCCCCTGCCTGTTTTTGGAGCCCAGAGACTGTGTTTGTGTGTGTGGTGGGGGTTGGAAGAAAGTAATTAAACTGAGGAAGTGCCTCAGTTTATCTGAAAATGTTACCCATCTCCTGGGTTTTCCTAAGGATTGAATGAGCTAATACACAAAAGCATTTAGAAATAGTGCAGGCACAATCAGGAATGGTAACTGTTATTATTATTACAAGAGGCTACATCAGCCGAAGGGGGAGACTTTCAGAGCAGAGTGTCATAGAGCACTGGGGACTGGGTGGGGGAAAGTGCATCTGCCTGGTTTGGTTAAGAAAGTGTGACCCTTGCTGGGCAGGGTGCCTGGGCAGTTGTTCAGGTGGCTGCCGGGGTGAGATCCAAAATCTCACTCTCTGGAGCCCTCCTTCTTTTCCCTGTGTCACAAGGCATAAGGCCCATAGGCTCCTGGCAGGGAGAGGGTGCCAGGCAGGGAAACAAGGACTTATAGTCCTCTGGGCATCATGGGATGAGGCAGGGGGACTCTCTCCTGACCCCACTGTTTCTTCCTAGGCCTGGAAAATGCCACTGTCCACTCTCTCTTGGCTCTGTAATTTTCCAGCTGACCTGGAATTCCCCATGACTCCTACCCTTTTCCTGGGGCAGAGGGGACACCAGTTCAGGGACCCAGGACTCCACCCTAGTCTCTGCTGGCCACAAATGGATACAACAAAGACTTTGGGAAACCAGGGTCCTTGGCAGCTGGAGTTGTATGCTCCCAGGGAGGCCAGACTGAAACAGTTTTCAAGTTCACCTTGTTTAGTGACTCAAAGGGAGATTCTTGACTTTTTTGAGGGGGCTCTGCCCTTCCCTATACCCACTCTCTTCCCCACAACCACCAGGGCTCCCCGCTATCACTGTCCCTTCCCTGTCTCCTTCCTGCTCTGTCTCCCTCTGCCTTCTTGCTGGAAGTGGCTTTAGGGATCATTTGGCTAATTGCCTTTTCTCTCAGAGGCCCACAACATGGGAGAGACTTGTCCCATGTCACAAAGCTGGTTGACACAGGGCCAGCATAGGAAGCCAGTGCCYGGTTCAGGCCTAAGGCTAAACAGTCCTCCCCTTTGAAGGTATTTGCAGATGAGTTCCAGAACCCCCATGGATAGCCAGACCCATAGATGCTCAAGTCCCCTACATAGAATGATGTAGTATTTACATATAAACCCATACATATCCTCCTGTAGACTTAAAACCCTCACAGCCAGATTACTAATAACACTTATTAGGATGTAAATGCTGTGTAAAATGCTGTTAATACTATATTGTTTAGGGAATAATGACAAGAAAAAAAGTCTGTGCTTGTTCACACACATGCAACCAAAACCATCTCAGGCCTAACTACCTAGCAACTACATTAGCAATAACATGACTTTTTTTCCCTAATATTTTCGATTTTGGTTGAAAAGTGCCAGCACTTGGTGATCCAGCTGATACTGAGGGCCTACAGTATGCAAGTCAACAATCTGCCTAAATCGTATTTCTCTCCACTCCAATAAAACTCCATGGAAGAAGAAAAACAGAAGGGGCCCACCTCCCACCCTGGGGCCAGCCTGGAACTCCAATTACCTGCTTCCCACCTGCATCATTCCACTYTTGTCAGAGACCTTCTTGAAACAGGTACCTGTCGGGACCTCGCTCAACAGCTGACACAGGGACCATTTTACTGGCTACTTATTCCCTCTTCTTCCCCAAACACATCCTTAATGAGTGAAAAATTGGAGTTTGGCTTTAAGCTGTAGAGAGAGGGACTGAATTGTCTATGTGCGTGGCAGAATAGGAAGCAGTAGGAAGAGTAACTCGGAAGAATGTGACATCTCGCAAGGGAAGGTCCTGGATGGGTGGGGTGCAGTTGCGCCTGAAGAGCGGGATGGCCAGAGGCACGCAGGGGCAATGGTCGCAGACAGGCTCCAGGGAGGGGAGGTGCCCTGTAAAGCCGGGCGGCTTTTACCTAAATATTTTGGTGGCGAGCGGCAGAGGGGGCGGTGCACGGCCCTAGGTAATGATAGGGCACTCTGGGAGCCACGCGGGGGCTGTGCGTCGCGGCCGCGGCTACAAAGACAGCTTCTGCGACCTCCCGCTTTCTTCCCTYGGGTACCAGCCCCACCCCTCCATCCCCCTCCCAGCACCCCCCACCTTCGTCCCGCCTCGCCCCGCCCCCCTCCCGGTAGCCCCAGCGCGCATGCTCTCTCCCCCCGCCGAGTAACCTGGAGATTTAAAAGCCGCCGGCTGGCGCGCGTGGGGGGGACGAGCTTGCACGCGTTAGCCCCGAGTGACAGCCGCACACCTCCGCCAGGTAGGAGCGCGCTCCCTCCTCTCCCCAGGGACAGGGTCCCAGCGCGGGAAAGGGAGGGGCGCTGTTCTGCCGAGCTGCGCGGTGTCGCGTGTTTTGCACCCCGCGGGATGGGGCCGCGTCGTGGCTGTCCCGGCCACTGCGCGCGGGGCCACTGCGCGCGGAGCCCCAAGCGAATCCCAGAGGAGAGCGCAGGGCTGCGGGCGCCCAGGGGTGCGGTCCCCGCTTTGCCAAGGGAGGGTGCGGAGTATCAGGCGCCTGCTGGGGTCCCCGCTGAGCTCGGTTTTCTTCCGTGGAGCGCGGGCTAGGCTGGAGGCGCCCCGGTCCTCCGGCTGTCCCGGGCCGGGAGGGGTGGACCCSGAGAGGCCCCTTCCCGGAGCCCCAGGCCGGGCAGACAGCGGGCGAACCGGCCGCTCGCTCCTGTTGCAGCCTCCCGCGTCAGAGTTTTCTTTGGAAAGTTGCATTTATTTTCTTCCCTTGTCTGGGCTTCGCCGGAAAGGGGCAGGATGAGTCACCGCGGCGCGCACAGTCCGGGACTTGGGGGAGCCGGCAGAGGGGCCCACGACCGGGGTGCTCAGCTCTGGCCAGCTTTCTTGGGGAAGAGGGAGATGGTTACTAAGGGAGGAAAAGGGGACTGAGCCCTTCTGGACTAGTCCTGGGTCCAGGCTTTGGGTAGAGTTGAACTGAGATGTGAGTGTTACTGTACCCTCTATTGAGCTCCATCATCCTTCTGGGGTGCAGAAAGTAGAGCTCGCTCTTTGCTCCTGTCTCCCAAGGCTCAGGTGGAATGGGGGAAGYTCTCGTAAACAGCAAACAGGTGTGGTGGTGTGAAGCTAGGCATTCCCTACAGCTTCTTAGAGCTCTAGGCTTGGGCAGCAGCATGGCTTGGTGGAGAAGCCCCCATCAATCTCCAGGCTCAGTCCTTCCCTAGTCTCCCATTCCCTTCAGGCGGTKGAGCCCTGGGAGTTGCTCTTGCCCTTGACCTCTGAATCCGCCTCCTTGTTTCTGACACACACTCTTGACCTGCTCAGCTTTTCCCTCTGGCCAGGGGGCATTCCCTGGTGCTTCCTCTTTTCCCAAGGGAGTTGGGGTAGGGAGGGGTTTGGCATAGTGGGTACCTGGTGAGGACTTGCCTTCAGCTGTTACACGGACCTAGGACTGGTGGAGGGTAGACTAAGAATAGCCCAATTGCTGCCCAGCTGCCCTGGAGCTGCAGCGGGGCTTTGCCAATAGACTGGGGCCCAGAGTGACCCTTGCTGGACTCCTGGAAACATTGCTCAGGGGTGGGGGTGAGGCTGTGGGGGCTTCTGGCTCCCTTTCCTGAAGCACTTAACAGATCTCCTTTCAGAGTGCAAATAGCCTTGTGTGGACTTAACCTGCCCAAGAGGAGGCTGGCATGGGACAGGTGGGGATGGGGGAAGAGGCTGGATGGGAAGCCTGAGGAAAGCTATAGAGTGACAAGTCTCAGGGAGTAAGTGGACATAATTTGAGGTCACAGGCCCTTCTGTTGGACCATTTCACACACACCCCCATTCTTTCCTTATCACCTCCCCCCAGGCTTGTCCTGGAGCCAGGACTCTGTTGTTCTAAAAATGCCCACAAAATGGAGCTTGAGTCAGCCRGATGAGTCTGAAGATAAAAATACAGCTGTGGATGAATGTACAGCTGTGGACATACAGGCCCCAATTTAATGGGTGTGTGCTGGGGGGAGTTTTCCTATGCACTCGTGGAGTATATGGTGAATTCCCCCCACCTCTCCTGACTCTCTAATTCTGTAGGAGGAGCTGGACACTGAGCTTGGGTGGTCCACTGTGGCCTGCCAGGCCACTGCCACTGGGTGATGCAGGGGTGGTGGGCAGGTCCCAAGCTGGAGCTCCTCCTGGAGAGGGCTCTGGAGAGAGAAGGCAGAAAGGCAGGGAGGGATGGTGTGAGGACTGTGGAAGGGAGGTCACTTTTGGACACTGTCCCCTCCACCATTAGAACCTGGTAACACATCAGGGGTGGAAGTCAGACTGCTAGAGAGGTAGGTCTGTAGAGTGGCTGGTCCCAYTAGCTGTGCTTCACTATGGTAGCAAGTTGCTTAACCTCTTTCAAGCCTCAACATTTCTGGCTACAAAGTGGGGATGATGATAATAGTAATGATCACACCCACTATGTAGCTTTATTATTTGTTAAATACATTATAACAAATATAACTTTATAATTATATGTAAAATTAAAGTCTAAAATTTTTCTTTATTAAACAATATATGAAGAGCACCTCACTATAAGTCTGAGACATATGTAGTAAGTACCTAAATATATGAACATCATTTATCACCTGTGACTGAATGGATAGCAGCAAACAGTCTGGGGCTCTTTTTCTGGGACCTTGCTCTTTAAAAAAAAAAAAAAAAAAAAAAAAAAGCCAGGTACCACGGAGCTTACCTGTAATCCCAGTTACTTGGAGGCTGAGACAGAAGAATGGCAAGTTCAAGGCAAGCCCCTGGGCAACTTAGTAAGACCCTATCTCAAAATAAATAAATAAATAAATAAAAAGGATTGAATTCAATCACCAGTACCAMCCTCCCCCCCAAAACCCACTCCCCCACCTCCAAAAAAAAGCCTKTATAGACCTTTCTTCTTTGGGAGCAAGGTCTCCTGGACTTTGGGAGAGTTGGTGTGAATAGTTAAGAGGCTTGGCTCTGGAAAAAGGGTTTGAATCCTGTTTGTTCTTGCGCAAGTTGTTTGACCTCGGAGCTTCAACTTTCTCCTCTGTAAAATGAGGGTATTGCAAGATTAAATAAACTGATGTAGGTAAATCTGAGCACAGCAGCTGCTTGTAAAAAGAGCTTGGTAAATGTCAGCTGCTATTTGGTGACAATGGAGGCAATCATTGTGGTTTAGCTTAGAAACCAGGGTTTCTTAGCCAGGGAATTATACCACAGATAATCAAATGTGAGTTATGAATGACACATCTGCCATTGAACTTGTCCAGTGCAGGGAACACACCAGAACTGGGCACCTTAGTCTCTCTCCCCTGTCAGCATTGTGAGATTCGTTTTGTGRTTAGTTCAGAACCCCCTGCACTGCCTGCCTTCCAGGTACCTCCCAAGAGTTCTCTGTAGGATGGAAGGGAAGGTACCGGAAGATGATGAGGTGATATCCACCCTGAATGGTTAAGAGCTTTCTAGCAGAAAGGTGATTTGTTATTTTTAGGAAAACTGTGTGGGGAGGGTGCACCAAACAGGGACTCTGCTCTGTCCTCCCTTCCCAGCTTGTGGGATCTTTTGCACTGTTCTTTGGTGTCCAGAAGAACTCAGCCTAGCTTTCCCTGAACAGTCACCAGCCCTGTTCGCTGGACAGCAGGGGTGGAGGCTGGACCAGTTGGTACCAGGCCCAGTGTCTCAAATGCTGATGCCACTTGACTCCCAGCAATAGAGCTGGAGCGTTGAGCTTTGTCCAGTGTATTAAGTGTCTCTGCTTGGGGGCAGGGGTTGGTGACAGTGCCATCACGGGATGGTCCTGATCTGTGGCCAGAACTCCTTGTTGAATTTCTTTTTTAACTCTCTCTGTGGTCTCCATTAAAAGAAGTTCACAGTTTGCCACCAACCCTGAATGACTGTGGGGCTCCTTGCCTCTGAGGCTGGAGATGGACCTGTCCCTCYTACCCCTCCTCACCCCTCCGCCAGCCCATTGGCCTTGGTTTCTTTGTCTATAAAATAGAGATGATATTCACCTGGTGAGATGATGATGAGGATTAAGTGAGATATGCATATTTAGCAAAGTACCTACCCAGACCAGGTACTAGAGGTTACTGTCTCTGGTGGGGACTGGTTCAGCCAGCATGAAGTCAGTTGGAGGCYAGTTCTGGTCTCATAGCCTGCAGTCCCTCTTTCACCAAGTTCAGGCCAGATGGAATGCCCAGCCAAATGGGATCTCCTCAGGAGCGGCCAGCCCACAACAGCAGTTTCTCTCACCCCTGTATGAGCTGTCAGCCCCCCTGCCCCCCCCCACTCGCAGTCTGTCTAATCTCATCTACTTTGAGCTGGCAAATAGTGCCAGAGCTTGGAGCACCCTRTCCATCCCTAGGGACATGGCACTGTAGATTCCCACTCCTGGCTCCTGTCACTATAGGGGGCTGAGCACCTAGATGTCTCCATGGCCCTGTCTGAATCCTGGGTCAGATCTCCTTGGACAGTTCTCTGACTCAGCCTCACCCATAGACTTTCCRTTGAGCACTCATCCTCCTCGGGTCCTAGGCAGGGCCTGTGTGCCCTGCTTACCAGGAGATGAAGGGCTAGTGGGGGAAGGAAAGGATTACAAACCAGAGGCCTGAGGACTATGTACAGGCTCCAGCCCTGAGGGGTATGTGGGAAAGATTTGGGGGAGACAGGGGTTACTGGGCAGCTTGGGTTCCAGGGAGTCTGGAGGAGGTATGGGACAGAGTTCAGGGGACGGAGGCAGGCTGTTCTGGAGGGGGAAGTAACTGGAGCAGGTGCCTACTTGGGAAGCAAAAACCAGCCCCGTGCTGAGGAGTTCCCCTATCTTGGGCCCAGGGAGGTGTGGAACTTTATCTAGGACACAGAGATTTGGGCTGGATTCAAGATCAGAACCCAGTCCCATGGTTGCCTATTTTTCCTAGCACATCTCAGTAGGGAGAGGCCAAGAGGAGGGTGGGAGCGTTTGGAAATCTGGGCTCCAGAGGCCTCACTTTATCCTTTCTGCACAGGGCCTACCTGCTCATCTTTCAGGGCTCAGCATTGTCCACTTGCTCAAGAAAGCCTTGAACCTGCCTCCTTCCTGTGGACTCTCTGGCACCCCTATCACCTCAGTGCACACGGATTGCATGCACTTGGTCACATTTTCTCTCTTCTGCTAAAGGGATCAGCTATTTGTGACTCTACCAGCTTCAGAGTGGACTTCTCCATAATTGGTGCTCAATAARTGTGGGGTGAGTGGGTGGGTGGGTTTCAGTGCTCTGTGACATTCCTTTCGGTTAGGCTGCACTCTCCTCCAAGGGT